GAATACAAAATGCGTAATGCTTTCCCATCCAAAATATATCTAACCCTTGCCAATATCGATATATTTTTTGCTATTTTATGCTGAATATGTCTGATATGAGATTTCCAGGAAAATTTGTCATCCACTATGACAACTAGAAATTTGATTTCATATACTCGTTCTATATTAGCTCCCCCAGTATTCAATTGAAATTCATTGTCTAATCTGCGATTCCCAAATACCATAAATTTAGTTTTATCCAAATTCAGAGATAGTATATTACTATCACACCATTTCTTTATCTTCTCAAGTTCCTGTGTAACCCGTCGAGAGAGTTGCTGTAGGTTTTCACCCGATGCCCATATGGTAGTGTCATCAGCAAACAAAACCACTTTCACTAAATCAGAAACCTTGCATATATCATTAATGTATAGTATAAATAATTTAGGTCCCAAAACAGAACCCTGAGGCACTCCACATACAATATCCAGCTCACTCGATTGGTATTCACCCAACTTCACAAATTGACGCCTCTGTCAAATAACTTCTAATCCATTTCAGAACCATTCCTCTGATCCCATATTTTTCTAACTTGTCCATTAATAATTCATGATTGATTGTGTCAAATGCTTTTTTTAGGTCAATAAATATTCCTATCGTGTATTTCTTTTCATCCATAGCACTTGTAATGTCCTCCATCAGGTCGGTAATGGCCAAAGATGTCGATCATTTGCTCCTGTTGCTCTCAGTCTTCTTAACCACACTTGAAATGTGTACTGTTGTTAGTTTAACTAGTTATACCGCTCACTGTGAATCAAATTGCCCCCCAGGGATAATAAAGATACCTTGACATTCATGTGAAGGTCACATTAGAGACTAACCTCGGTGTATCTGGCAAAGAAAAGTAGTTAAATCTTTAAAAAAAAAAAAATCTTCAGTAAGAAAATTGACAAATGGCAACATTTCTGGGAATGTTAACATCTCAGTGGCAGGTTGACCCTATGTTTTTATGACCACGTGACTTGTCCACCAGCACCACCCTAAAGACAAACTTCACCTCAGGCTAATGCTAATGAAACGGTGGCCAGTGCTTCTCTCTGTCCATATGGCAGATGGTCAAGTGCCTGGTGCTGTCATCAGATGTGCTACAACAATGTGCTCTGTTTGTTTCTTCTAGAGGTTGAGAGTTCACGGGGGAAGCAGCTGATTGGTTGGCCTTCTGGGGAGGTCAGGGGTCAAAGGCCATGGCTGGCCGGCTCCTCCTCTTCCTGCTCATTTCTGTGACACTCAGCCACGCCCATTTCCAGTATGGCCAGCGTCTGAAGCCCCGCCTGCAGAGAGACCGACGCAACATTCGGCCAAACATCATCCTGATCCTGACCGACGACCAGGACCTGGAGCTGGGTGACTGACCTGTGATCACACTGTGCACAGCTAGAGCAGACTGTAGTCTGAGGGCCACACTGAACAGTAGGTCTCTCCCTCTGTAGGTTCAATGCAGGCGATGAATAAGACTCGCCGCATCATGGAGGAGGGCGGGACTTCTTTCTCCAACGCCTTTGTGACCACGCCCATGTGCTGCCCGTCACGGTCGAGCATGCTCACTGGGAAGTGAGTACCTGAACACCATAGGTGTATTAACGAGAAATGCAGGTCACAAGATTACACATATCCAGATGTTTCACATGCTTTGGCATAGCGCGTGCTCACTAGCGCCTGACTAAAAATCCAACTTTTAGATTTTATTGACTTTAATACAAAATAAACTATAAGTAAAAACCTGCAACAAAATTGGGCAATTTTCTAACATAAGCCTCCACGTCTGACAGCATGAAGTCGACACCAGACTTACTCTCTGTCCTTTCTCCAGGTATGTCCACAACCACAACACCTACACCAACAACGAGAACTGCTCCTCGTTGTCATGGCAACGGCAGCACGAGCCACGGACCTTTGGGGTTTACCTCAACAACACTGGATACAGGACAGGTAGAGCAGCACACACACAGAGGCCGAGGGTTTTATTAACGCTCTGTGATTCACCTGACTTCACATCCCTGTTAACGTGTGTGTGTGTGTGTGTGTGTGTGTGTGTGTGTGTGTGTGTCCTCTGTCCAGCCTTCTTTGGGAAGTACCTGAACGAGTATAACGGCACATACATCCCTGCCGGTTGGAGAGAGTGGCTGGGTTTGGTGAAGAACAGCCGGTTTTATAACTACACACTGAGTCGCAACGGAGTCCGAGAGAAACATGGAGCGCAGTACCCACAGGCAAGGACACACAAACACACACACACTCATCACTTCACACACACACACACGGGTAATGAAAGGTAATTGATCTCAGTGCAGTTAGTGGAGATGAAAGGTCTTCTTATAACAGCTTCATCATTAAAGCTGCACCTCACTTCACTTTGTCCCTTCAAAGGAAGCTCGCTTTGCAACAGCACACGAAGAAAACAAAATTATATATGTACAGACGGTGATAGATGAAAGGACGACCCAGCACAGAGTCCCAGTGAGGTGCTGGGCCACCACGTGCCACCAGAACAGCTCTACCTGGACTCTCCAAGTCCCTGAACCTTCCCTGAGGGATGACCACCGTTCTTCCACCAGATGTTCCCTCATATGGTGTTTTGATGATGGTAGTAGAGACGCCGTCTAGCACGTCGCTCCAACATCTCCCATAGCTGTTCAACTGGGCTGAGACCTGGTGACTGGGAAGGCCACAGCACCATGAGACCACTCCCATCATGTTTTTTCTTTCATGTGTTGCCTGTCATACAGGGGGCCACACAGCAGACATACAAACCAGCTACAGGTACCTTGGTATCCGGCAGTCACATGACACCACAGTGAGGAGGATAAGGAGGACGACATCCAAGTACCATCAAAAGATAAGACCGGACCTGAAGAGCCACAGACTCGTGTGTCCAACCATGAGATACCCTGCTGGCCGCTCCTCACAGTGAACAGGGTCCAACGCCCAGAGATTATACACCAGCTGGAGAGAGGGCGGGCAGGGCCTGATGAATGTCAAGGCCACTGGATGAAGTCCGGGTGCAGCCGTATGGTGGCACCCAGAGACGAGCTGCTGAGAGAATATCTGATGCAGCAGAAAACAAAGAATAAAGAATGAAGACCAAGCAGAGGAAGTGCCATGGCGAGATAACAGCCTTCCGCTATCGACAGATCTGGAAAAACTACTGATGGAACAACCCTGGACTGTGTCTCCTCCCTTCTCCCCAGTAAAGTGTTTTCAACCACTATGTCCCTGATAAAAATAGCTTTTATGTGGCTCACCAATACTGTATAAAGTTTGGACGTTATGTTCTTTTCTTCGCTTTACTTTTTGCCCAGTAATGCAAATCCATAATAATTAGCATGTGTTTCTGTGTGTCACCAGGACTACCTGACCGACCTGATCACGGTGGAGTCGATCCGCTACTTCCGCTCCTCTAAGCGGATTTATCCTCACCGGCCGGTTCTCATGGTTCTGAGCCATGCGGCTCCACACGGACCTGAAGACTCAGCACCAGAGTACAGCACTGCCTTCCCCGCGCGCGCGCACACACACACGCACACACACACACACACACACACACACACACACACACTGTAAGATTTAGCCACTGTAATCCGGCTGAACAATGGAGCAGCTGTTCTGCACTGCAGGAGAAATCCTGAGGCAACACGACTGGAACAATACAGGCTTCCATATTATCAGCGTGTGTGTTAAAGAAATGTGTTTCTGTTGAAGATGTTAGTTATTTCTCATTTGAGCTCAAGCTTGTTTTGAAAACTTCTCAGCTGGGAGTTAAAGTTCGCTCCTGCCTCAGTGATGCATTCGATTGTTTGTGAGCTGACAGGTCGGACAAATGGAGACATCACAGCAGTGACGTGCTTTTTTTTTTAACCTTCCAGTCAAATCAGCAGATGTAAACGGACGCCTGAAGACGTGTTGGCTGGGCTGCCGCTCTCAGGAGACCATTTACACACCATTTATAACTCACCAGGCTTTTTATGAAGGTCTTTCTGGTAACACAAAGGTGCTGAGAACAGACAGTAATCCCCCAACAATGAAGCAGAGTCTGACAGCTCATACTAAGTCGTTTTATCATTCAGCACAGAAACACACTGAGCGCTGCTTCAGCCAAAATTAAGTCTAAACCGGAGCCATTTAATATACTCACTGAGAAAAGACAGTTTGTGGATCCTCCATGTTGCAGTTTTAAAGTTTTTGCACTGTTTGAGTGGATGTAGCAAACACACAGGCCAAGAGTCTTAGGAGATGTAATGTATGAGGACATGACTCAGGACTGGTCAAATCAAAGGTTAGCATGTTAAAACACTAAGCCAAGATGGTGAACTTACTAAACATTATAAACTCTTTCACTGTGTGCAAGTTAACATGCTAACATTAGCATTTAGTTCCAAGCAGGGTTGAGTGTTTGTGGTTATTTCTGTCTCGGCGCAGATATTTAATTATGTAGTGGCCGAGCAGAGAGGAGGAGGAGAAGACTCGATGAGCTGGCTGACGGGAGTCATTCATTATCCACACAGAACATCCTCTGCTGCTAACACAGGGGGAGGACACTGTGTGTACAGTAATTAATGAACAGGATCCTCTGCTGGCATCGCTCCATGCACATCACACACTGCAGGCACACAAAGGTTTTGTTAGCTTCCACTTTAAAAGAAGAAACCATTTTCTCTGAAATGGTCTTTTACTAGGCGGCATGGTGGAGCAGTGGTTAGTACTGTCGCCTCACATCCCCGGGTACTCCAGCTTCCTCCCACAGTCCAAAGACATGCAGCGTAGGTTGACTGGCCTGTAGGAGTGAGTGTGTGTTTGTCTCTAAGATGATAATTCAACGCTGTAGTAAAGTCAGAAAACACAGAAAGGCGTGCCATGGGCTCTTTATACTGAACAGATCAGTCTCATGACACATGCACTCCTATTGACCCGACCCCAACCTCTGACTGGTTTCATCCCATGACCGCCCAGTCCTTGTGTATTCAGTTAAGATGGCCGCCGCTCAGCCTGCGTCACTGTGTTCTACTCAGAGCTCATACAAAGACAAACTGGAGAGCTGTTAGCTGTCTGATCTGTCATGGTGTCAACGTGTCATAACATTAAGACAAACAGGAAGAGGCCTGGCTGTTTTTCTGTTTTGGATTTGATGATCTGTTTCAAAAGTAATCTGGAAAACATTTAGCTTTGTGTCTTTGTCCTTCTTTTCCCCAGTACTCCCAGTTACAATTACGCTCCCAACCCAGACAAGCACTGGATAATGCGTTACACGGGCCCCATGAAGCCCATCCACATGGAGTTCACCAACATGCTGCAGAGGAAACGGCTGCAGACGCTTCTGTCTGTGGACGACAGCATGGAGAAGGTAGAAGACACACACACACACACACACACACACATGCACAGCGCTCACTCGGGTTGGTTAGAAAAGCTTGACTAAAGTATGGACGTTAATATAATAATAAGACACAGCTCTTATTCCCTTGTGTCTCAGCTGTACAACATGCTGGTGGAGACGGGCGAGTTGGAAAACACCTACATCATCTACACGTCTGATCATGGCTACCACATCGGACAGTTCGGCCTCGTCAAAGGTGAGAAACGGTGAAACAAACAGACTGATCCCGCATCACGCCACAGAGCTGCTCTACTCCGTCAGGGAGCAGCAGCATCGGGGCACGTTTGGATGGGCCTCGTTCGGCCGAAGGGGGCGCCACTAGAAATTAACAAATGAGGGCGTGCGGTCGAAACAACAGGAAGCAGAGTCTGTGGTCAAAGAATACCACAAAGTACTTATTAAAAACTTTGATCAGATTCATTAAAGAAAGGCAAACAGGCCTCGGTTTGGAATTCATTAGACTTTGATTTGAAACACTCAGCGATTCCCTGGTGGAGTTTTGCCTTGTTGCAGACAAATGCTTCTACACATCCAGTGACTTCACAGTGTTCAGACCCTTTCACCTTTTGTGGTGTTCATTTAATTGGAAATGAAGAAATGTGATATTTTTGCTGATTGGTCTACGCTCACTAACCCGTTAGGACAAAGGAAACTTGTTCTTAAACATATTTAGTAAAATCCAAAATCTCTCAGTTACAAAAGTGTTTGAACTTTTACACAAGGCTGTTTCTGCTGTTTGCTTATTTTAATGTGTGTGTCAGAGGAACACAACAGTCATGCAGACATGAACCAGGTCTGCCTGCTGACAGACTGACCGTGTGTATTAACTGTGGTAATTGTGTCTGTTTGTGTTGTGTTTGTGCGTCTCCAGGTAAATCCATGCCGTATGAGTTTGACATCAGAGTCCCGTTCTACATCCGAGGACCCAACGTGGAGCAAGGCAGCATGTAGGCACACCTTCATCAGTCGATCCCCTCACTGCATTTCTTTTCATCGACACAGTCAGAGACGACCTCGCTGCCAAAGAGCCCGATGGGTTTCTCAGAGCTCTCTGATTCTAGTCATGACTAACATAAGGAGGCTGTGCATCTGTATCCACATCCCAGACCTGGTGTGTCCACAGCAGTGTGAACAGACCAGACCAGATTTGGGCCACCTGCCTATGTGCTCCTAGACCCGATTCCTCTCTGACCTCTGACTGTGCGAGCGCCGTCAGAACGGTCAGATCAGAATCCATGTGGTCGTTTTAACAGGCCCTATCCTGAAACAAATGCACGGCATGCGGCGCGTTTGTTTCCTAATTTCTTACCTATGCGATTACCGTTTTCATGACATGTGCATCACGTTGTGTCGACCTCACGCCGGCAGGTGTGTCCAGATGAAAACGGGGTGTGTCCAGGTAAGAGTTGTGCGCGTTGGTAACATGAGGGCGCACAAAGTGACTGCACCACTGACCAGCAAAAACCAGCTTGGTGGTCAACAGTCAGATCATCATTGCTAGTTAATTGGCACCTTGACCGTGTTGTGATGCGTGCCTGTCTAGGTAAGTGCACGTGCACTGTGCTTGCTATACCCTGAGACGCGCTGCGCAGGACATGCAAGACATAAAAATAAAGAGATGACATTGTGTTCATTGGGTGTTGTGCACATCAGTATACAGTATGTTTATAATAAAAACCAATTTGATTAGTGATCGTGCGCTTTCACCTTGTGCACAAGCAGATCCATTTCCTCAGTGGAAAACCTTACTGACATCCGACCTGCCATGTTTGCCATAAGTGTCACATGAATTTTTAGCAGCATGTTATTACTGACATGAGCGTGTACTGTACAGGGCTTAGAGACAACCTGTGGTACTAATACAGTTTGGTATGTGATGTGTGTTTGTTAGTAACCCTCACATGGTCCTGAACATCGACCTGGCTCCGACCATCCTAGACATCGCTGGCCTCGACACCCCTCCAGATATGGATGGAAAGTCAATACTGACGCTTCTGGACACTGATAAACCTGCCAACAGGTACACACACACACACACACACTCACACAGTAGCCTTTAACTTTCTTACATTAATAAGTAATAAAACTCAGTTTATGTAACTGGGTTTTTTTTTTGCTGGTTTTCATGTGACAATCTGTGTCTTTGTGTGTGACTTTTCAATCTGGCACTGTGGTTTACAGTGTGAGCGGAGGCTGAATGTCTATAGTAGTAAACGACGGGTCGATCTCAGACGGACGTAAACAACTACAGCTTTTTGTTTTTGCCACAACTGTCGATTCCTTCCAAATCAGATCCCCCCCACTGTGTCCGACCCCTCTGTGTCCGACCCTCTGTGTCCGACCCCGCTGTGTCCGACCCCACAGTGTCCGACCCCGCTGTCTCCGACCCCTCTGTGTCCGACCTCTCTGTGTCCGACCCCACTGTGTCGTCCTCATGAAGCCATTCAGTGACCTAGAGCTGCAGCCATGAGTCAGTTCACTGGTAGAAAATGAACCTCAGCTATTTAGAAGCAACAGTCACCGACATGTTCTGGTTCCACCTTCTTTAATGTGAGGAGCTGATGCTTTTCTTTGTCAGACATGAGAATCAGCTGAGTCTCTGTGGGTCTGTTGGTTGGACACAACGAGACGTGTGGAGACGCCACCTTTGGCTCTGGAGAGTCACAGTGGGACTTTTTCACTACCACATCATTGTGACTTGTAAACGCTGTGGAAGGCACAGACAGATGGTGTCATCCTGCTTAGACAGGGAATGTGTCCATCTGGAAGACTTGTTGGAAAAACCTGCGAAACATCCGAAATATGTACTTTACTGCTGCAGAGGGACATGCAGATTTGGTACAGTGAATATATAAAGACTCAAGCTCACGAAGGAATCTGCAAGAACAGCTCTGAGTTCTGCTCCATACTAAATATACAGTATTTTAATGTAGGTAACTAAAACTTTTCTGCCTCATAAAACTTCTTGTTTCAAGAACATTTCACAAAGGTTATAAAAATTTGCCAGAAGAAACATTTGAGAAATACTTGCATGTTTTATTGCTCCCACTGGGTTTCTGTCATGCTTTCATTGGTATAACTAGGAAACAGGTGTTAAATTACATTCTGTGTGCTGTTTAAAAGGTCTTAAAAGACCTAAATTTAACTCCGTGAGCCTGCAGAAACCTTGAGCTACCTATGAAAATGCCACAGGATGACAACTCATTAAACACGCTGGTGATGGAGTATTTTCTTGTGGTATTACGTCAGTGAAAGATGTGAGTATGAGTTCACAGAGTGATGTGAAGACCAGGTCAGCGGGGAAAAGAGACGGGAACAGTGTGTAAAGGGTCGAGAAGCAGCAGGGGACTGTGCTGTTCCTGTCAGGGTTAGAGCCGCCTGTCCCACCAGAAGGCCTGGGAGTTTTCTGTCATTATTTATAGTGATCAAAGTGTCAACAAAGCCAAAGGAAAAGTTCAGGAGGTCGGAACAAGATAAAGATTAACACTCTGTTGGAAACAGGCTGTAGCTCTGCTTAGGTCATTTACCCAGAACTTATAGGAGTAATAGGTTTAGTGATATTCTGTTTTGTTTGTAAATGAAAAGTATTTTGATGCACCAAATGAAACTAGTCCCAGTGGACAGTGGCCACCTGCTGTGGGAGGTTACTGAGCCTACATTGAATGTTTTGCCAGCCATTTAACAGGGGGCAGTGTGTTATGAATACAAGATAAATGTGTCATTTCTATCTGAACTGAAGCGAACTGCTGCAACCAGAACCCGAGTTAATCTCACTCGAGTTTGTGTGAAATTATATCAGCGCATTTAGCAGCTCTAAAACCGGCTCGCTCATCTGCTCCTCGCCCCGCTGGGCTCCTGAGGTTTATTTTAGAAAGGTAAAAATAAAGAGAGGAAGGGTGGAGGTGAGGACAGGGTTGCTGAAGGATGATGACTGAAGTCACGCTGCTCTTTTCTTCTTCTTCAGATTCCAAGTCAACAAGAAGCCGAAGGTGTGGAGGGACTCGTTTCTGGTGGAGAGAGGGTCAGTATGTCAGATCAGTGATTTCGGAGTACAGCTGCTGTGGCACAACACACAGTACATGTCTGTTGGTGTGTTAACAGGAAGCTGCTGCACCAGCGTGTCGAGGGGAAGGAGGTGTCACAGGAGGAAAACTTCCTGCCCAAGCACCAACGAGTAAAAGACCTCTGTCAGAGGGCCGAGTACCAGACGCCCTGCCAGCAGACGGGACAGGTACAGTAAGACGTACGGTCCTGGGGAACTCCTGAGTTCATCACATTACTCCTGGGCTCAGTACTTTACTCCCAACCCCAATACTTTACGCTGATCCCACTACTTTAATCCCAGTTTCATCTCATTACTCCAGGCCCCATAACTTTACTCCTGATTCCATTAATTATTAGCTTGACACTCAGTTGACTACTTCACTGCCAGTGCCATTACTATACTCCTGATCCAGCTCCACCTGGTTGCACTGCACCTTTGGATCCTGTTACAGACCCCATATTTTACTTGGATCCCATCACCACAGACTCAGGTCTATTACTTTAGTCCTGCTCCTCTTCACCCCATTACTTTCTGACTTTCCATGCCATTACTTTTCTGTTACTTTCTCTTAATCCCATTGTCCTGTTACTAACCTATTACTCTTAATTACATCCCAACCTCATTGTTCTTACTTTAGTTAAATTAAACACGAGTCCTTACCGTCTTTTCAGACCTTAAAAATGATGAGTGCAGCCGAGATGTTCCCTCCCAGACTTTTGTTTTTGCAAAACAAAGAGCTTCTTTTTGGAACAAGTGCAGGAAACTGAGATGGCTACCGCTGTAATGAGCAAACAGAGACTTGAAAGAAACGGAGCAGAACAGTACGAGACTTTTGTCAGAGAGATGAAAACCAGATGTCGTCTCTACGAGCCAGACAGATACAGTAACAGCAGCAGTAATGACTAGAAGAAGAGACGTGGAGAGAATCTCGATGGAGCAGGCGCTCTTCTCTCACACAGTTGGAGAGCCCTGTGTGTTTGTGTGTTCATGCTTGTTCGAGGTTAATTACACTTGTTGAAAAATCCCTTTAGCCAGTCGATTAGTTTCTTAGCAACAGTGTCTGCCGGCTGCTGGATCGCTCTGATAAACAGCCTGCAGAAAACTATGTGTAATTAACAATTCATGCATTTGTCATCCGTTAATAACTTCCAGCGACTAAGTGCAGCACAGATTCACTCAGCTGCTGCTAATGACCAGCTGTGTAGTGACACAGCAGCCGGTGCTGAGGGGCAGAGGATTTCTCTGTTTATATGTGTTTGTTTGGGCCTGTAGTTTCTAGTCGTGAGGGCCTGATGGGCAGCTCCTGCTTTCTACAGGCGCTGTGTTGAAGCGGGTGAGTAATGAGACATAGCCTCATGTTATTTACTAATCCAGCCTCGCTCCGTGTGACTTTGAGGCGCTCTAACATGCAGCCAGTTTGAGACCTGCTGCTACAGTCGAGTGTTATCATTACCCTTTAGGACGGCATGGTGGAGCAGTGGTAAGTGCACCTTTACAGCAAGAAGTTTCCAGGTTTGAGTCCCGGCCGACCCGGGGCCTTTCTGTGTGGAGTCTGCATGTTCTCCCTGTGCCTGTGTGGGTTCTCTCCGGGTGCTCCGGCTTCCTCCCACAGTCCAAAGAGATGCAGCTTAGGTTGACTGGAGACTCTAAACTGCCCGTAGGAGTGAGGGGTGTGTGGTTGTTTGTCTACATGTCAGCCCCGTGACAGACTGGCGACCTGTACTCACCCTCTCACCAAGTGTCAGATGGGATTGGCTCCAGGCCCCCACGACCCTGTTCAGGAATAAGAGGTGTAGATGGATTCACAGTCTGATTCAGTTCAGCTTTGTTTAACAAACATAAAAATATGTTGTTGCAGAAATGAAAACCATGAAAAACAGCACAACGAACACAATTCAAAGCTAAAAACCAGGTGCAAAATAATAAAACTCGCAATAATAATTTAAGGTGAGAACATTTCATAAGACCAAAGTAATGTTAAAAAGTAAAACCTGCCGGGGGCTCGATGTTGAGCCTCTGGCTACGTACTCTTCCTGAACCATTCAGTGTCTTTTGCTTAAGTTGAGATTGATAAATAGAAGGGAGAGATTGGTCTGTGATTTTAGATCCTTTAGTTTCTCCAGAGGTCAAACTGCCACTCCAAGCAGTAAATGAGAAGGTGAGCACACGTTGGATGACAGCTGTGTAAAACGGCACCATCGTGTTCTTCATGGCACCAAATTTCCTGAGCTTCCACAGGAAATACCGTTTCTGATGCGCCAGCTTCACAGTGCTCAGAACGTTTCCTTCCCGTTTCAAGTTAGCAGGAATTACTGTGCCAAGAAATTTCAACTCTTTCACCTCCTCAAATGCGTCTCCTGCAAGAGTAAGAGGTGGTTTCTTTCTCTTCATTTTCCCAAAATCCATGACCATTTCTTTAGTTTTCCTGCCATTACGCTGTAGATTGTGTTTACTGCTCCCACACACCAGTTTGAAACCTCCCTTTTCCGTTAGCAGCCCCACGACAGTTGTGTCATCAGCGAACTGAGTCGTCATGACAGAGAAAATCATCTGTATACAAGGAATACACCAACGGAGGCAGGCAGCGGCTGTGTGGAGCTCCGATGCTGACCGTTTGTGGCTCCGAAAAATGTCATGAATCCAAAAACACACAGATTCATTTAGCCCAGATCAGCTTATGAAAAAGCTTCTAACTTTAAACTCAGATGAGTAGCCATTTTATTTTTGGTTCGCTGTTATCGAAGGCTTTTATAAAATGTCATAGTGAATTTGTTGAACTGTCTGTGTTGTTACTCTGTGTGTGTGTGTGTGTGTGTGTGTGAGTATAGAAGTGGCAGTGTGTGGAGGACGCCACAGGGAAGTTGCGCCTCTACAAATGCAAAAACGAAGGAGGAGGAGCTAAGGACTTCCAGAAGGGTGTAGCTGGTCATCCGCGTCCAATCAGCATCAAGTCTCAGATGTACCGTCGTGACGTCAACGCCTGTGACTGCGACCTCCACGACCTCCAACCTGAGAACCTGCGGCCCTCCGTCATGAGGCCGTTCAACAAGAAGCCGTTCTTCTCCAAAAAGAGTGAGTGGCAGGACTTCAGGTGGTTGGCCCCGTGTTTCCAGGTTGATGTGATGTTTGGTGGGTTTCAGCCTCCAGGAGGGGCGGCCAGTAGAAACCATTTTAGTTTTGTGGGTCTCATTGATTATCCTCAAACAAAAAAACAAAAAAGGCCTGATCAGGTTTAATTTACAAAAGCATTAAATATTTTGTTTGCCTACTGTGGGCAGTGGTGATTGTCTCTGTGTGTGTGTGTGTGTGTGTTATTTCCCACCAACCCCGTCCAGAGACCAGCAGTGAACGTGGCGTCCTCGCTGTGCTGTGTGTGAGTCCAGACCCTGGTCCAGTTTATCGCTCTGTGCCATAGACCTCCACCAGCTGTTAAACCCAGCCTACTCTTGAGCACAGCGTTTCTGGATTAGGGGCTCCGAGTCCAGAGCTGCTGCTACTGGACAGACCTGTAGAAAACCTGTAGACTGACCCTGCTCTGATTCAGAACAAACAAGATGGTTGTTGCTCCAAGAGGCCAAGATTTTTATTAATGCCATAAGCAGTTTATGTGGTCTTATCAACACATTGGGTAAAACATAACTGTTGTTTGTGCACCAAGAATCATAGGCCGATCCTTTAGGATTCCCTGATGATTCATTGATTTAGGACCAGTCTGAAGACCATTCTGGAGAACTGGTGCACATACAGCATCAGCCTGAACTCGGGTAGCGCCCCAGCTCTCTCTCTCTCTCTGACATGATGCTGACCTCCAGTGTCTGAGTTTAGAACCACATCACCTCCGTGATGAAGTAGGTTCTGCCACAGTAGGCTGGTTACAACTGAGGATCCACAACTGATTTGGAAAACATGTTTTGACAAGTATAAACAGAACAGGATACGTTTTCCATCCAGATCTGTCAGTCTGCTCCTCTGACACCTGTCAGCAGACAAACACACCTGAAACACAGTGTGGGCTGTGGACACTACTGTCAGTGACCCACAGCCCTGAGCTCAGCTTCTGCACATCGTCCACATTTCTGTTGTGATTGTGCAGATTTATGCCCCAAAACAACTTTTCCTGTTGATCTCCACATAATCTCTTACAGCTCCGTTTGTAAGAATCTTTACTTAATACTTTAACTCATCGCTTCAGCTAGAGAGGCAGCTGTGTCCAACAGCAGACAGATGCTCTACTTCAGAGACTAGAGGATGTTCCCTGTGCTGCTTCCCTTCATTCTTTTGGATCATTACATTTAAATGGACACGTGTCATACATCCATTAGGTTACTTTTACATTCAACACTCTGATATGACAATTAATATCCCCAGAAACAAAACTGAAAAGCAAAAAGCTGAGGCCAAAGCTAATCAACATACCTGTGCCAGTGTGTTTACCTGGATGTCGTATTCACAATAAATACCCAAACGGACACAGCTCAGTACCAACAGGACGTTGTAGACACACTGGTGTTAGTTTAGAATAAATATCAGCTTCTGCTTTGTGTGTTTTAGAGTTCAAAGCCCTGAAGAGTTACTCCAGAAACCGCTACGGCCGTGCCGTATCCACGGCCAACGGTTTCCCTGGTAACCACAGCCTGGAGGTTACCACGGTAACTGACCAGTCTGAGGATGAGTTCAGCGGGATGGGAGGTGTTCCGAGTGTCATGCCCCCACCCAACTCCATCAAGGTCACACACAGGTGAGTTAGGTGTGTGTGCATAGATGAGCTGACCGCCAATCATCACCACGGCTGCCATGTTGGTACAAGGAGGCGCCACCCCCAAATGCATGTATGTGTATGAACTGTCTGTGCTCAGAGCTCACCGAACATTTCAACAGTTTGTTACAAATGTAGAAATGTATTTATGATACAGGAAACGCTAAGATAAAAATGTGGATCACTTGGTGTTTTGCAGAGAGTGACAGTGATATTTTTAATATTTAAATCTGAGCTTGTTCCTTTATCTTACTGCATTGTTATGATATCATTTTGGAAATCCAGAGAAAGGTAATTTAAGAAGGATGTGTGTATCTGGTACAGTGTCTACGTTAACCTAGAGTCAGGATAGTCAGTCATGTTGAAAAGAAAATCAAGGGTCACATTTTGGGGATGTATGAGTGGGGTCATAACAGCTTATCGGCACAGCTGGAGCTACCAGCTGTGGAACTAAACAAACAAAACAAAACAAAGTGTGGATTCTGCTCCTGAAATGAAATGTCACTGCTGTTCAGGTGAAAGTGAAGCTTTCATTGAGGCCTGGAGTTCTCACATATCTCTGTCCTCACTTGTTCTCCTGCAGATGTTCCATTCTGTCCAACGCCACAGTGAAGTGTGATACAGGAGTGTATCAGTCGCTGCAGGCCTGGAAGGACCACAAGCTGCACATTGACCACGAGGTACCGCCGATGGCGACCAGCTGAGCACCTCGGCCTCTGGCTTAGTCGTGTTTCAAACTTTTCTCTTCCTCTCAGATTGAGACGCTGCAGACGAAGATAAAGAACCTGAGGGAGGTCAGAGGTCACCTGAAGAAGGCCCGCCCCCTGGATTGTGACTGTAACAAGTACCTGTAAGTACTGTAACACCGTGTGACACCTGAGAGCCAGAAGAATGTTCATGTTTGGTGCCACGCCTGCTGTGATGTGTGTTTTTCAGGTATAAATCCAAACTGAGCACTAAGCTGAGGTACCGAGGAGACGGCGTGCACCCATTCAGGTGAGCCCACCTGCACTCTGAGCGCACAGTGATGTGACCCTGTGCGTTACGCAGTGGTGCAGTGTTACAGTACTACTTGTACTTGTGTTGAGAAATTCCATGTTGTGATACTTTTATCAGTGATGTGACAGCTGTAGCTACTTTACAGGTTCCAATAAATTTGACTAAATATAACCAAGAAGTCAGAACAGATTTCTGTAGGTGCAGAGGAGAAACAGAACAAACTGTCTCACTTACGCTGGTTAGTCATTTACAACATTCAACAAATAGATTCAAACCTTTGTTCAGCGGGGGAAACTCAAAACTACTCATTACCATTAGATCACCGTTATCAGCTGATGAACACATGAATAAATATGTTCCATTAATACAGTCGACATTATTCTACGAGTTCATCATTCTGCATAAGGAGTACTTCTACTTGTGGCACTTGAACTGTTGCTGACAGAGACTTTATGAAGCTGTTGTTGCTTCTACTGTTTACAGGAAACCCAGCGCTCGTGACAAGAAGGCGTGGCTTCTGAAGGAGCAGAAGAGGAGGAAGAAGATGAGGAAGATGATCAAGAGGATCAAAAACAACGACACCTGTTCGATGCCCGGTCTCACCTGCTTCACACACAACAACCAGCACTGGCAGAGTGCGCCCTACTGGACATGTATGACACACACACACACACACAGATCTACATGTCAAGACAAAGGTTAATATTTTTGATATTTTTAATATGCTGGTTTTCCTGAGATGCAGTTCCCGTCTCAGGCCTCAGTGCTCAGCTCCGATCTGTGTGTCAAGGCCATGTACCTGGCTCCGGTGTGAACACCGCTGAGCTCCTAAACTACCACACACACACAGATGTAATTGAAATGTGAGCCACGTACGCACAGGAACAACAACCAGGTGGTGTGTGTGATGGTCAAATGGCCCAGTTTCCTCCCAAACCACTGGGTTACGACATGTTCCTCCCAGTTTGTCCTGATCAGAAGCTTCTCCATGAACGTCCACCACATGTGAAACCTGGTCTGGTCCTGGTCTCTCCACTGACCCCGTCACTGTCGTCGCTCTCCTCCATGTTTATTGTTACCGGTCTGTGAGGGGCTGACGCTAAATGATGACGACAGGTCGTATGTGCAGAGGAGGAGACGTTAAAACGACCACATGGATTCTGATATGACTGTTCTGATGGTGCTCACACAGTCAGAGGTCAGAGAGGAATCGGGTCTAGGAGCACATACACAGGTGGCCCAGACCTGGTCTGAGGACATCTGGTCTGTTCATACTGATGTGGACACACCAGGTCTGAGATGTGGACGCAGCCAAAGAGTGTGTGTGTGTGTGTGTGTGTGTTGCAGTGGGTCCCTTCTGCGCCTGCACCAGTGCCAACAACAACACATACTGGTGTATGAGGACAATCAATGAGACCCACAACTTCCTGTTCTGTGAGTTTGCCACTGGCTTCCTGGAGTACTTCGACCTCAACACAGACCCATACCAGGTACACACACACACACACACACACACACACACACACACACACACACACACACACTCAAGCCTTCGAAGCTGTTTCAAATTCAAGCCCACAGAGAAGGTGTTTTACATTTGAACATAACATTTCTGCAGTTAGAAGCTCATTGAAACGTCACTTTGAGCTTTTTGACACTTCAGGGACTCTCACAGGTTTCTGAGCCACGTCATCAACGAGATGTGTGCACAGCTTTGGTGTAGAAAACAGCCCGAAATGTTTGCGCTTCTGTACAGGTAGTTGTCCTATGACCGGTCAGGGGACACATTTGTCCTCAGGCACCTGATGACTTACTCACTGACAGTAGTTTATTTGTTATAATTATATTTGGTCAAAGGTCAAAGTGTTTATTTGTCATATGCACAGTTAGGAAACGTGTTTCCCTCTACAATGAAATTCTTACTTTGCCGTCCACATGAATGCCACAAAATACAAATGAAATATAAAGTAGATAAATAAGTAACACAAAATCTAAGACACTTTAAGCAGCAAATGCAGCAGTACAATAAAAATATATAAGAATATAATAGAGAATGTTTGCTGCATGGGAGCAGCATGTGCAGCAGTCAACAGTCAATGTGCAAACTGAGAATGTAAACAGTACATCACGTATTTCCTGGTAATAAACTCCTCAGCTGTTTAGGAGTCTCCTGCGGTGGTAAATGCTCTGCAGAGAGGGCAGTGGAGTCCTGGTGATCTTCTCCACAGTCTTTACCACTCTCTGCAGGCGCTTGTGGTCCATAGCAGTAGTGCTGCCATTCCAGACAGTGATGCAGCTGGTCAAGATGCTCTCAATGATGCAGCTGTAGAAGTTCAGTCTGCTCGCTCGTGCCTGGTGCTCCGGGGGCTCCCCGAGGGCGATGGTGGCTTTCCTCGCCATTGTTGTGATTGTCGCCGGAGCGAACAATGAGTTGTAGCTTCGGTGGTATGAAACCAGTAAATTCCCAGTGGCTTTGTGAGTTGGCGATACCCAGCAATGCCTGTCTGTTGTATGTAAGCAGTACATGACATTTGTGCACTGCAGGAAAAGCAAAAAACAAAGAAAAAACCGGCATTCAAGAGTGGAACGCACAAACACGTTCGCCTCGGTGGGCGCCATGTTGTTGCATGTTGAACTTTAGGATGATGATGTCTTTGTGGGAGGCAACACAGTCGTGGGTGAACAGGGTGTAGAGGATGGGACTGAGGACACATCCCTGTGGGGTGCCAGTGTTTGTAACAATGCTGTGGACATAAAACACCTACTGTGTTTTACATGAGACCTTTCTTATGTTGGCATTGTGTTAGCTCTGTAGGTCACTGCTGACAGTCTGATTTAGATTGTAACACATGTCTGTCTGTCTGCCTCTGTCTCTCTGTCTGCAGCTGATGAACGCTGTCAGCACTTTAGATCGGACAGTCCTCAACCAGCTTCACGTTCAGCTGATGGAGCTCAGAGGCTGCCGGGGACATAAGCAGTGTAATCCTCGCACACGCTCAGTGGACCTGGGTACGACGTGCACACAGTGACACTCTGTCAACCTAAAAGCCTGTTTGTCCCCTGTTTGGTTTTCAACAGTTCAGAAACAAAGATTAATTAGCAGTTTTACAGCTGCTTCAGAAATATTCAGACCACATCACTTCAATTTTAAATGTGTGAAATTGTCATTTTTGTCTATAAACCTACACTCAACAACCCAGGATGACAAAGGGAAAACATGTTTTTGCAGTGTTATTAGAACAAAACTTAAACTCTCTCTGGGGCTCCAGACTGAGGAATCTGGGCAAGAAGGGCCTCGTTCTGGGGGAGACCAACAACCCAGTGGCCCCTCTGACAGAGCTTTAGATGTCCTCTGCAGAGATGGAGAAGCTGCTAGGAGGTTTTCACTTTGCACCTATGACTTTCTGGGTGTAGATGGACAAAAATGTCAGTTTTATCTAAAGTTAAAGTGTGCACAAAGATACGGGATGTGAATGCTTTCTGAAGATGCATACCTCAAACCTGGTGTTATTGAAGGGGAGTTACCACACTGTGGGTGTCCTTCGTCAGATCACGAAGTTGGAAAATGATCATGTGATGAAGTGGAGCAATGAGCAAATACTAATCACACATGGCCTGTGCTCACTGACTTTTTTTTTCAGCAGGAGGGCGGGAACACGGCAGCTTCGATGACTACAGGTACGCACACTCCCATACATGTTTGTGCTTTCTGTCTTTGTGAGGACACTCTTTGAGACAGTGTTTTCACTAGCCCCTATCCTACGGAAGCCAGATGGGTCATAACTTGTCTGCTTTTTCCCGTCATTGTGTCTTTATACTGGTTTTAATATCAGCAGGCCGGGCTCACAGACTGGGGCCTGTTTGGCTGTCTGCTGTTTATTCCTCACTGTGTTTATGAACCACAAGTGGTCGTTTGTTTACACCAGTGAACTTTGGAAAAGGTGTCGAAATAAGCAATATTAGAGTAGTTTTCTTTTCCCATACTGACACAAAGGATTGTGGGATATGGGCGAGGTGTGATGAAATTATAAAGTTGATTAAAAAAGGGAAACACTATTTTCTCACATTACAGAGCAGCATTCAAACACGCTGAGTGAAGTTTCCAAAAATCTTTATAAACGGCCTGGCAACAGCGAAATGAGTGTAAAACACAGGACAGCAGGAAAAGCAAACGGTCACCAATCGGCTTCTGATGCTTAACATTAACCACTACAGCTACAACATGTCCTCACAACACTGCTATAAAGCTGGTCCTCACAAAGCTAGACATACAGACACATGCATGCACATGCTGTTTTCCTGCTCTGGATGCTACACGGTCTCCGGGTGTGTGTGTGTGTAACACGGTGTGTGTTTGTTGCATCAGGGTGTTTGAGAGGAGGAGGTGGCCACGAGTCAAGAAGCCTTCATCTTCTCGGACCCTGTGAGTCTTCATCCTCGTCCTGCTCTTTGTCGATGTGCAGCCTGCATGCTGCTTTCTGTCTGTCTCACCTGTCTACAGTACAGTACTGAGTCCTTCTCCATGCTGGCAAGTCAACTGGAACTAGTTATTTACATCTTATTTATTGTACTTTTTTAACGATTAGGCCTCAGGTTAAACCTGGGTTTGATATTTAGGCTCAAAATGAGCCTGAACAGCCTTAAATGAAGCCAGTATCTGCTCGTATCACTTTAGATCAGCAGGCCTTTAGTTGGTCTGTTACTCTTCCTCCAACACAGATTATGTAAAGAAATGGTCTCTGGTTTATTGGTTGTTAGTAAAACTTCATTTTACTTATGTTACATGTCACCTTCTTTTTAGCTCCTTATGTTCTTCACTCTCAAATTACTTTTATTTCCATCAGTTGTGTGTGAACTTGTTTCAGCCTGAGGGAAAAAGCTAAATCATAGGAGAACGATAACACATTTGTGTAGCCGATGTTTGGAGGATGATTTAGATGGTCAACTGAGTCCTGTAGATAGCAACACAAAGATATTTGACCGACAGTCATGTTAACATTACATGCACAGCACTTCCTGTTCCCGACCTGTTCGTAAATGTCGGCGTGCTGCTGCATGTTCCTCGTGTGTCTCAGCTGGTTTTGTCTTCTTGTCTAACTCTGTGGATTGTGGATGAGTTTAGTTCATTAACCTGTTTATGTACGATGCTTCTTATTAACAGCAGTGCAACAGCTCAAGCATTTAAATCAATGTCTGAACAGGTTTGTGACTCCACACATCACTGACTGAGACTCTGCATTAAGACACCGTTACTTCATGTCTGTTTGTCCATCTTTCATTATCGTTTAGTTTTTGTTTGTTGACGAAAAATGTCAAACTTTTCATCATTGTTCTCTTTTATTTAGTCTTATTTATGTTGTGAATTTGCACTGATACAAATAAAGTTTGATTGATTGTGTGTGTTTGTGCAGCGGTCCAATCTGGGATGGCTGGAAGGGCTAAGCATACTGATTGGTCGGAGCGGGCTCCTGGCTCCGCCCACAGGACCCTGAAGGAGCAGGGCGTGGTCGTCGATGGTCACAGCAGCATCTATTGGCAATCATGCCTTCATTTCACCGGTCAGCCAATCAGCTTCTGCCATCTGTGGCATCGCTAGGCCCTCCCACCCTGTTGCTCGGGGATGAAACGTCCAACACACCTCTTCATCAGGTGCTCCTCCTCCTTGCCTCTCCTCTGAGGAGCTGCGGGGAGGAGGAGGTGGAGGAAGAGAGTATTCCTGACATTTAATAGCAGTATCGCCAGATAAAACTATGGTGGCCCAGAGAGCTCAGCACACAGCAGCTTAAGAAGCGAAGCAGAGTACAAACACAGGAGAGAAAACAGCCAAACAGAGAAACAGGCTGCAGATACAGAAACCTGGAGATGGGCAGATGATCCTGAAGCTCTGGTGCTGGCTTCACTCCTGTGAAGTCCCAGTTTGACCACACTGTGTTGGAGCTTGTGTCAAATAAAGGAAACCATGTGGCTGATGAGGCCTGAGGCTTCACACGTCTTGCAGCTAAATTATGTTGATTACTAGAATAAGAGGTGGTAAACTAAAGACATTAGAGGTGTGTGCATGTCACCAGGGGTCATGTGCATGTCACCAGGGGTCATGTGCATCTACCATATATTACATACTGCTAGAGAGAATCACAGAGAAAGTAGGAAGAGATTTCCACCTGCTGCCAAGTGATAATGTGAAGTAACTAATACAACTATGACTAATAAATTACAAATCATGTTTCAGAGCAACAAAAATATTCTGTGTATCAGCTTTCTGGACCCTGTGCTGTACATGTTCGTTGTTTTGCCGTCACTTGCACAGTAACACCTACAGTTAGTGAAGCATGAGATTAAATAATAACGTGAAGCTTCTGGGCTATTGCCACATATGAGATTCAAATGAAGAAAACCTGGATGTGGAGGTGCTTCGATCTCGACTGCTATGAGAAGTTGCTGTGCTCATCTTAGCTGAAGCTCAACGCTTCATTGGGTTTTGTGCAGCTGTCACCACAGAGAACAGAACCACTGATACACAAACGTGCCACAGATACAGAAAACACAAGCCGACAGGCCGCAGAGACGCTGCTTGTTCACAACTGATCTCTGAATCGTGCCATCACAGTGTGTAGAAAACATGCTAGCTCGCTTCGACATCATGAGTCACCATGGCAACAACAAGCTGTCCCCTGGAAACTCTTCAGTTGTCGTCTGTACTGTTTATATATGATTGTGTTTTGTCACTTTGCAGCATCATTGTGAAAGTGTTGTCAGTTTGGTGAAGATGTTTTGTGATTCCCTTGTATTTTGCATGTGTTTTCCTACACCGCACTGTGTCGAGCTCTCAGAGCCACCGTAGAAATCAAAACAACAAACTCAGAACAAAAACCCCAGCCTGCCTCATCTCTGCGGTGTCCTCCTCCTCCTCCTCCTCCTCCTCCTCCTCCTCTTCAGTGACCTCCCAGCGGCCATATTTGTTTCCATGTTCATATTAAAGGACCCGTTCTCCTTTTTTGTTGTTACTAAACTCAGACTGAGACAAAAGCAAACACTGTGACATCACTGCTGATGAAAACGTGGTCATCTCCCAGTCTTTTTTTCTTCCACTAACTTGAGAGTTGGTTACCATGGTGACAGACCAACGACAGAGCTACAGTTGTACTAACCTGCTGATTGACTACAGTACCCATGATGCAACACGGCACCCCTGAAGGGAATGACAACAGGATCATGTCGGAGTAAAAATCAAAGAGCACAAACAGCAGAAAGAAAAGATGTACAACTGGTGGAGCCTCTCATGAGCCAATAAAAAGAGGACTAGATGATGATGTCACACCCTCCAGAACTTGTTTTGTGATTAAACATTAAGGAAATGTAAAGTTAAATTCATCACCCAGAGAAACTAGGCACAGAGTTCTGGTTTTATGTCATCACTTTTTTATTTTTAAATTGTGTCCACTGTCAGCCACCACTGACCGGTGAATTTCCTCCTCTCTGGTTCAGCTGTTTCTGCCTCTCAGCTTTTATTTTATGTCATATTTCAGCCCTGCCATCCATTTTTTCCCTTGCTCAGATTAAACCTCTGGACAGAGATGTCCAGAGTTCACTTTCAACTTAGAACAATGTAAAATAAAACTGTAGAAAACCATGTGTGAATCCAGACACAGGAAGTGACAGTGTGGCACAGATCTTGGCTTTGAGGATCTCTGCCTGTTGTATTTGATCCAACCCTAAATTTAGACTTTTGTGATCTGGTGGATTCTAAACAGGAAGTAAAAAATAAAAACCCAGAAGATCACATTTTTTCAGTGTTAAAACTGTCCCTCAGACACTCTCACACTGTTTAACAATTTTTTTTTTGTGCTACTACATTTCCCACAATACCTTTCACCAGAGAAGGTACATCCACAAAACCCTAAATTATTTGGGAGCGTGTAGGATTTGTAATTTGTGTTGTTTGTGAAACAAAGTGGACAAAATGAGTATATTTAGTGCACACAGTTGTGATTTTAGGGAACACTTTCACTTTTCACACCGACTGTTGTCCATCACACGGGCATATGCCCACACAGCAGGATGTTGTTTGTCACGACATCACTGTGATAATGTTTTATTAGTTTTCATGTGGGTTCTACTGCTGAGTTTGCTTTTGCCCAAAATGTTCTGTGAGACCGTTTTCTGATCTGACGCCTCCCAAAACCATTTTCAGTCATTCACATGATGGTTGACACCTCTATAAATACAGTTGGATTAAATGTTAACACCAGTGAATTTTCTATGTCTTATCTCTATTAACCCAACCCCGTCCAGAGACCAGCAGCCCCTGGTCCAGCTCATCGCTCTGGGCCGTGGACCTCCACTGTTGTCCACCAGCTATTAACCCCCCCAGTGAGCCACACTGCTGCACTGGGGGGGGTTAACTGTAAAATCTTTGCCCTTTTAGTTTAGGCGACTAAAACACCTGGTTTAGATTGTGGTCATAGTTTTAAACAACGCTGATGAAACAGCTGCTCCAGGTTTGTCAAGTGAACCACAAACGCTGTGTGATTTGTGTGGTTCTGTTTCTTGCTTATGTTTCCTCTTCTGTGATTAGTTTCTTTTTGTTCGATTGTTGATTTGAAAGGAAGAAGGCCCCACTCTGATCTGACCCCAAAATCTGACACGTATTATTGTTTCAGACAATGATTCCATGCTGGAATGGGATTTGACTCCCATTCCCATTCCAAATCCCATTCCATGCTGGAATGGGATTTGACAGCAGGAAACACACACCATCAAACTTTGAGCACAAATGTTTCTTCCAACAGTGTAAAAGTGTTTGAGGTGACGTCTCCGCCGACCAGTCTGCTGTCTCTACAGTCTTTAACCCCGGGTGTGTTTGCTCGGCGGTGCTATTTACTGTCTAACAACTATCTAGGGAAAACCGCCGGGTTATTTGAATGTATTTCTAAATGTCTAGGTGTGTTTTCTAAAGACGCACTAGAGTCGGACCGTTCGGGACCGACTCGCGCATGCACACACGCACACACACGCACACACTGAAGGACAACCTGCTGAGCACTTTGATTGGAGGATGGAGGGATGAATGGACCAATGGAGGGTTCATGGTGAGATGTGACGACACATGATGTAAACATGTCGTGATCAAACACACGTGTACAGTCAGCCACTGCCCTGTGGAGTCACTGGTCAGTTTAGTTGTGAATAAAGTGTTGGTTGCCAAAATGCACCTGTTTGTTTGTTTGTATCTGTTGACTTGGGGACTGTTACAGTTCGGGTGTCTTAGAGTTAATCAGCCATAAATCCCAGTTTAACATACAAGAGGTTGTGTCGACTGGTGCCATTCTTCAGTACTAGGTGTTACTACAAGGACAAATTACAACCAGGACTGCAGGTTGTCAACAGCCCTAAGCTGTCATCCTTTCCTGTGGTTGAGTGAGGTCAGATTAGGGTTAACCTCAGCCTGGTCACTGTAGATGTGGATGACCCCTCATCCTGTCATCCGTCGCCATCCTCTGGAATTAGAGAGACTCTAAGATTAGATCAAGTAACAGGATATTGTGTCTGTGATGTAACTGCAGTTTGTACTGTAGGTGATGTCCATTTGTTAGAGAACTTTTCCATTTTGTGCATTTGTGTGTCACATGCTGTGGTGTTTTGTTGCAGAAGATAAAGAAATCAACAGGCTTTAAGTTGGGTTTTTCTTTTTCTTTACTACACAGAAAGATCCAATCAAAACAGTCTATTGACTACAGTAAAACCCACACATCAATATCCAGATCAAGAAAAGTCAGAATATAGGCCCACGCTATGAAAACTGGAAAACACGAGTCGGAACATGAGTGAGACCACAAGGGGGCAGAAAACACGTAAGAAATACATTATGCGGAGTCAGGTCTTTAGGATTTGTTCACTAAAGGCTCTTCTGTCCAGCCCACGCTGGCCTCATTCGCTCTTTACTTTTGTAGACTTCCTGTTTTCAACTGCACTAATGATAACACAAGTGACTCGGCTCCAGAGGTGGGGGAATCAAGGCGTATCACTTGCTTGACTAACACCGGTAAAAGACTCAATTTGACTTTGACTTGGTATTCATGACTTGAGACTTCACTTAAACCTGAGACAGATGACTCGATGACACTTTTTTAAATTTTAATTTAAATTAAATTTTTTGCATTTTTATAGATATTGAGAAGTTACGTTTTGTTCTTGAAACACAACTGGTTGATTTCTATTGCAATGTGCTCAAACCTGGAAACCTACCAGAATGCGGCGGACCAGCAGAGGGCGGCACAGGTCACAGGGCAGACCGAGATCATGGAGGGGCCAAATCCAAAAATAATCAAATTTGGATTATGTTATCAATGAAGGTAGTAAGAAAAGAAGAGCAGTATGCAAAGTCTGCAGCGCAAAAATCCATCTTCATCCATCACTACATTAGCTACCTTATTGGTTGGCCAGACATTAGCTAGAACACTAACGTTAGGTTTAAGCTGTGAGACTTGTCTTTAAATTGATTCCACATTTTATTGAGAAGAGTTTCTGGCATGCCTTTTTGTTTAATAGCTAAGGTTAGTTTATAGCCTGTATGTCTGAATGTACCGTTAATAATCAGAGGGGGGTAGGGTAAGTTTCAATTAAATATGTGAAATTCCCATAACATTATCAGGTCATCAGAATTTTGTGTGACTTGTGACTTGACTTACAGTAGCGAGTCGACTTGCTTCTCACCACAGTAACATGGGACTTGCTTGAGGCTCCCACCTCTGCTCGGTTCTCTTCGCTCTTGTTCAACAACTCTTCCAGCTCTTAACATTTTCATTCACTGGCTCCTTCAGCTCAAAGAGCCGGGATCCAAAAGTTTAGTGAACAGAAGAGCCAAAGGAGCTGTTCACCAAAACTCCCAGTAGCACTATCCTACAAAATCCTGAAGGAGAATAAGGGCTTTTGCACATTAGGCACAATTGTTTCATACCGTGCTCAAGCGTCATTGCCCCCCACCCCCTCGTTGGTCTGCTTTCACATTAGTAACATCGTTCTGTGCCCCAGCACACTTACATTTGTACACAGTCCGATACAGTAGGTGGCAGTATGCATGATGTTGGTTTGCAGTCCGCCAAGAAGAAGAAGAAAAAGCACCCAGTCGCGTCATCAAGTGGAGGACATTTGTTACTGTGCCATGGGCATGTAAATAATGACAAATACTTCCATAAATCTCAGTTTCTGTGTGTTGTATCCACTTGTCTTTGAATGTTTTCATCAGCCCAAATATCAAGCAAGCACTTGACTTCTTCGTTACTCCACAGATCCTTTCACAGCCATGTTTGTTATCATTTTAACTGACAGAGTCAAATGCTTATGACGTCCTTGTTTGAGCACAGTTGCGTTCACATCCCTCGTGGACCGTACTCAAGTACACATGAACCGGGCTTGAGAGCACCTCTTCAAGTGGACGCCGGCACGGTGCCCAAGTCTGGTACGCTTGTGTTCACATTGATCAGAATGAACCAGACTTTGGGGTCAAGTGCACTCGGACTCGGGCCCAGGTCCCTAATGTGAAACCACCTTTAATCTAAAATGCCCACTGTTGAAAACATTTGTTGCACCTGTTATTATCTCTCCTAGCAACAGCAGCTGAACCTTGTTGACTGGTGAAGCTCATACATGTGTCTCCAAGGAAACGGCAGCGGCTTACATTACTGTGCTAACACACTGCGCAGGTGTGTTAGTCACAGAAGGGGAAGCACTAATCTCAAAATTGGAATTTAGGTAATTTCATGTATTTCAAAACAAAAACAAACCAAAAAAGAAGAAGAAGAAACTATTTTGATGTATCTCCCAGCCATACTTGGTGTTTACCAGGTCTACACTGGCATGTCGGCTACTGCTTTCAGGAAATAGTCACAGCCTGACAAAAGCTCTCGCCTTCTTCCACCGTCTCAGCTTTGATATACTGCAGAAAAAGAACAGCTCGCAATCAAAATGAAACCATTACAACATAAAACTGTGAAAAACTCACTCTGTCCTGTGTGACAAGTGTAGGTAGTGACATGTTTGTCGGTCTGTGCATTCTGTAGCTGTATGCACTCGCTGCTGAGACCAATCAGTACTACAAACCCGTAAGACTCAACTCGACCTGACTCTGCTGCTGATACCAGCTCTAAACGTACCTGCTGCCCCTGACACTTTCTATACAAACCAGTTCACGACATTCAGTGGATGCAGATTCAAGTATCCCCCCAATCACTACCCGATCTGTAGTGCCTTTCCTACACATGTGCAAAGAAACAATTTATGTCTCATTGCCTCACACAATCATCTTGCCCCAACCTTAACCACTCAGGAAGAAGCAGCATTTTGCATGTGCTATGAATAGATCAGGTTTCTGGTACAGATTGGGTAGCAGTACCCCCCATGACTAAACGAACAATCAGAGAAAAGCACACAGCAGTCACACATTAGAAACGTCACACAAACATCAGAAATACACCAAAGGTGTCTGAAGAGGCAGCAGAGCTTCATTCAGCGATCTGCAGACAAACACAAACAGAAGAAACCTTACTTTACAAGAACAGAAAGATACAAGACACTTTCTGTACGCTGCAAGATTATGATGCCAAGTGCGACTCACCACGGCGACCTTGCTGGTCTGGTCGCGAGTTCGAATCCGCAGCTTGTTGACGGTCGTCTCGGCGATGTCGGCTCTCTCCTCAGCGTCATCCAGCTCGTGTTGGATTTTCTTGAAACGAACTGTGCTGCTGCTCACCTGCTCCTCCTGGTGGACCAACAGAGGAACATCAGAAAACTTGGACCCTCAAATCCAACTTCGGCCCGTATCGTTTCACTTTTCAGTGTACTAATATAACGGACTCACAGCATTCTCGGCTTGTCTCTTGTAGCTCTTGACTTTGGCCTGAAGCCTGTCGATCAGCTCCTGCATCCCCAGCAGCGTCTTCCTGTCCTCCTCTGTCTGCAGGACGAGAGAAGAGCAAACGTAAAACCATTGAAACCAGGGCATGGACAGAAGCAGTGGCTGGATGAGATGAGGTGATCACACCTGGTACGTCAGCTCTTTGACTCTCCTCTCATAGCGGCGGATTCCTTTCTGGTACTCCTCGCTCTTCTTCTGTTCCACCATCAGCTCCGTCTGCAGCTCTCTCACCTGTACACACATCTGTCTTATCAGCTCAGCAGTGGTGGATAAAATGAGGCTTTCTCAAGCCCTGAATCAAAATAAAGCAACTAGCCGAGCATAGCGACATCTGTCAAACCCCTGATACTGCATGTGTATGGGTGGAGTAAATCTATGATGCTTTTCTTATTATTTTGTTCAGTAAAGCTTGTTTTATGAAAACACATCACTTTGAAATTGATATAATGATACCCAGATGTTTTGGGGGATTTTGTCGATAAAGATGACGATAGTTTAAGGTGATTAATTCTTAAACTGTACGAGGTCACTCTGGTTAATAGCATATTTGCTTACTAATGATATTATGAAACATATTTCATATACTGATCTACTTTACGCTGAAGCATCCAAGTACAACAATACACAAACCAGTGTTTCCCACAGAATTAGTCCACTTGTTTTTTTGATTGTTTTTGTAGAGTGAGTGCCAGCTGGCACATTATGAAGATATTATCCTAAACAATATATATCTCACACTCCTACTCACCACGTGTGTGTAAATTGGTTTTCTAAATACACATGAAATTGTTTGAAGTTGACTTTTAAAAAAATATGATTAAATATTTCCCCAAAGCACAGTTTTGATTTATGATTTTATAATTTTATAACAGTTTCATTATTGGTTATTACTTTATACCAGTTCTTATTATTTAACATGAGTTAACTAGTTGTGTAGTTCACTCACAGTTCTGTGAGTGGCACCCTAAACCTGTACTCGACCCTGTGACTCACTGCTCACTACATGTGGTTTCCTGTCCTGCAGTTCTCACTCGGTTCCACTTACTCTGGTCTCCAGTTTGTGAAGATGTTTCTTTCCCCCCTTCAGCGCCATCTGCTCCGTCTCATCCAGTTTGACCTGCAGCTCTGTTGGAGACACACTGACGCCATTAACATCAACCTGCAGCAGCACTACTCTCCAGGAACAGCAGGTGAACTCATTCATTAACCACCTTCATGGCTTTAATGGTGGCGTCTGTTTTTGTACCTTTCACCGTAGACTCCATGTTCTTCTTCATTCTCTCCAGCATGGTGCTGCT